CACCACAGTGAACAAACTGATCCTCCACAGTTTCAACCAATTTTTGTGGCAAGGCCGCAAGGCTGACTACCCCATTTTCTTCAACATTCATGTCCTTGACTGAAAAGCTGGTGCTTCAACTGGCCGGAAAGGGTAGCCAAAGAAATAATTCATGAAAACGCACAACTATTCTGCGGATTTTGCAGTTTGCTTAAAATTTGATAAGCTCATAAGTGATCCGTACTCTGTTCAACTGTGGCAAATCTATGTCTTCTAGCCATATAGCCAATCTCCCTAGACATCACTGCTTTTCCCCATAGTGGATATTGGACGTGGCCACCCTTCCCGATGACATAGTCTTTTAGAAGCTCCTCGTGATGATTGCTGACTTCGAACTTCATTGCCTGGTCCCTTCACCTCAGCGAATGCCTGTAACATCGCAGTCGCTGCACTTGAAGCGTCAGTTACACAGTGCAATCTACATGACTACTCTGGAATTTTACTTTTAACCGCGCCCTTTAACGACCCGCCGTGTGCCTTTCTCAGCGTACTCAATAATCAGGGTACAGCATCCTTGTGTGACACATAGAGGGGTCGTACTTTGCCGTTGGGGAGGGGGGAGGTAATTGGTTGTTGGGATGGGGAGATGGTCGTATGTGGCTCAAAGGAGAATTTGCTCAGTAGGGAAAGATTTTTTCTCCTTTGTTGACTTCTCGCGTGATTCTGCCTGTTCACGTATATTATAAACCCTCTCCCCCTGCTCGACAGCAAAATTTTTGGGAAAAAGTGGGAAAATTCTCCGTAGATTCTAGAAAAGGTGGTAGGAATTTGGGGGAAATTCAGGGAATCTTCCCGTTTCACATTTGCTCTATACACTCCCTCCCCCCTCCCAACAACAACCAAATACCTGCCCCGCCAGCTCGACCGAAAACGCGTTGGGAGGTGGGGGGGGTCGTAGCGAGACCCTATCAGGTGGGGGAGTCGCACTGACACCCTGACACCCTCTCTCGGAAGGCGGTCGTACCTACACCACCATTTCACACAACGATGCTGTACAGTTGGTAGTGCTTTTCGTTTCTTGGAACTTTCAGACCGGCAAGGGAGTCTTAGGAACCGATGTTTGCCACTCCTCGCGCGCCTGAAAGCAACACACAGTCTTATTCAAAGCTTTTCGCTGCGGGCGCTTGAATTGTTAGGGTGGAGGTGAGTTTGGCGCGGCGCCATCCCCATTCTTCACCAGCTCGTGGAGATGCTGGCAGAGCGACTCACACTGTCAAAAGGGACCAGGACGCTGCGCGATCGCGGAATTATTCACGTCATCCAATGGGAAATAAAAATAAAATCAAGCTGTTAGAGCGATGGGAGCAATGGACAGGAACATTAACCCGCAAAACCGGTTGTAGCTTGAAAAGGCTTTGCTAAAAAAACTGACCGCCAGTGCTCATATACTAATTGATGCCCAATAACGTGACCGGACAACTCACCAACTTCGCGACTTCTAATCGGCCTATCTGCTAAACAGAAAATCAGCATGCTTCAAAATCAGTTTCCAACCTAATTAGCCTTTTGCTCGCCAATCTGCAGCGCTTAGTATAACTATTCAATGGTTCCTTGTATTTCTTGTTGAGTTTGAAAGCCACTCCAATTTCAGACCAACACCTCGGTGGAGTGTGAAGATACTACCTGTGCAAAAAATCACTAACTGGCCCGAAGGCGAAGTACGACCACATTACGCCATCGATGGAGACTCGTCGATCCCTGATCAAGTTGAGAGTAAGTTAGTTTACAGCAATTTCTTGCGAACACTCTAGTAGCTGGCGACCCCTTCACTTCACGCAGAAGCTTGCTTCAGATCTAGGAGAAGGTGGGTGTGAGGCGTGCCTCTGACGAAGCAATCCTCGCCTAGTCATCTTAGCGAGATGATAGGCTCTCATTGTGAGGGCCTTTTATTGAGCGCTCCTCCCACAGCATTTTGTTAGAAGGAAAGGGCGCGTCAACGGCAAAGAGCCGGCATCGTGCGCTGTCCCCGCCCACTCAACCAGTCTATGGACTTGCCGCTGTGAGTGGATTGCCGCCTTTGGGCTGCTCTCGTGCTTCCGCGAATTTTGACCGTGAATAATTTGAAATATATTTGGAAGGCACGCTGTCCGCCTATGAGGTATAGGAGTTCGAAAATATCGGCCCGTCGGGATGGGTAGGTATTAGTTCGCGTATGAACAACCCTGTACCGGGTTTCTCCGCAGATTCTAGAGAGGGATGCTTTAGCGCTGGATAGGTTCAGTGACGCCTCCTTCTCTCCAGTGACTCCGGCTCAGAGTTTCTCGGCGAATCACCTGTGCGGATGAGGACGCAGTGTAGGAGATGGAGTTAATTTCGTACGTACAGACTGAGATCGGAATGGGGTTCTGCCCAGGGCAGTTGGCATGTTTTTCCTCTGCTTTTTCTTCACTATCGAGCCGCTCAGAACCTTGCCGTCTATGTGAAAACCCGTCATCATCTGTGATATCAAGTGATTGCTGGTTTTGCCTTCAACGGAATTCTGTCCGGCATTTCCAGGTAGCACTCCATCACGTCTGACCTTCTCAATAGTGCCCACGAAAACCGACACAGCACCTACCGGTGTTATTGACTTCGTCGAGCCCAGAGTGATGGAGGTCAGTGTTGTCATTAGTCCCCTTCCAGCCCAGTATGAAAATTCATAGCTGTTTTTATTCCAGCTCATTAGTCATATTCGAACCACTCAGACAACTAAACCGTTCTTCAAGTTAGTGAAGCCTAGTGGTAAGTGAAATTTGCCCTTACCACTGTAAGTCGGTTACAGTAGGAATACGCTGTGAATCATGAGGCGTGTCAGTGCGGCTCGGCTAGGCTCGCCACCAGTCCGTTCTCCAAAAACGGGTGAACGTGAACAACTTGCGTGGAGATGACCGCCTATAAGCAAAACGACATGAACGGTTTTGTCGTTCACCGATGAGACAAAAGAGAGAGCCGGGGCTTGGCCGCTAATCCTCGTGAGAACCCGTCCTCCTTAGCACTCCTATCATCACCAGCAAACAAGACTATGGCTGACTTTTGCCTTAACTTAGTTCTTACCGTCATTGCGTCAATGTCTAGTTCAAATCCAAGTACTACTTCAGTTCATCAACGGCTGTCATTGACGACCACGTCAATAACAGCAACAACGACAACACCACCACCACCGTCTCTCAGGAAACCTCTGAAGCCAAAACGACCTCTATCCAATCGCCCTGCCCCATCTACAAGTCAATCAAAATGTGGTGTCGCACCAGATTTCACTCCCTGCGTCAGTTCGGAACAAGCTAGCCATGGTAAGCACTCATTACATTCATTTACCTCAAAAGAGAGATCCCCGCACACTATCATCTAGGATCCCTTCCTTGCTTAAGAAGTTCACTGGTTGCGAAGACAGTCCCTCTCTCACGGCTCCGCAATGAGTGGCGAAGGCTCTGGGACCATCATAAGTTGCAGTTATATACGGTATATCGTCAGGTGTACCGTATAGTACTGCAACTTATGATGGCCACAGCGCATTTATCGCCATTTCTCACTCATTCCTCTTTCATTGTGGAGCGGCGAACAATCGTTGCAGATACGCACGCACGGGACTTTTTGGACAAGAAAGGGGGGATCCTACGAGGTGGTGAAGCGCCGAGTCTGACTTTAATCATTTATTTATCACAGTATTCGCTGACGTTTTGTAGCCCTGCTGGAATGCTGCCGAAGGAAGAACTTACCGCCTGGGTGTCAATCACTCTGCCGTTATGATATCACACAAGCTGAGGTAGGTTAAGAGTGCCTCTACCTACCAATCCATTTCTTTTGCCCATTTCTAATCTCTCATGTTTCAGGTACGCGCCGCAATGGATCGTGGCCAGTGTGGAATTTTCAGCGTTGCTCCATTCTTAGAATGTGCTTCTCAGGGTAAAGATAACTCAGAATGCTGTCGATACAAGGGTCTTGCTCAGAAAACGTAGGTTAAGCTCTTGAGTGGAACAGTCCATATCCCAGAGATGGGGAGGCGTGGCCGCGTACTTCATATGAACATGATCTATGATGCGTTTAGTTGGATATTTCTATTTGAGACAACAGTCATCTTGGCTTATGCTAGACAAAGGCATGGTTACAGTTGTCGCAAAACGGCAATATCTCACCAGAAGCCCGGTTATCGTCACACTTAAATTGAAGTACGCAGCAACGCCCACCCATCTGCGCGATATGAAGCGCACAATAGAATTTTCACGCAACGCTTTTTCAGCGGACCTCAATGCGAGCAATTCTGCCGGCCAACTCAAGGGCTTAGCGCCCTAGGTCTACAGCACATTGTGTGCGGTAATGGTATCGGTGACATGCTTCAATGCCACCATGCAGGAATCAGAAGATAATAGGACTTATCAACTGACGACGGGTCAAATTTACTTTAATTCCATTAATGGAACGAACGAAATCTGTTTTTATAGTCGTAATTGCATCAACGACCTTGGACGTTGACTCTTAGAGTCACGGTCTGCGCTTATTATATGGGCGGGAGCAGGTCTCAATTGTGCCTTTCTCATCCCTCTCCACCGTTCTCTGAGGAAGAGGTCAGTGAGAATGGTGCTGTAGTGGGCCCGACTCCGCCTCTGTATTAGCACAAACGATGCTTTTATGAAAAAGATAGCCCAGGGTACGGGATGCGAATGAATCAACCATCGAGCTACTGAAAGTCCGAGGTTTTTTTAGATCATTTGTTGTAGCGAATTGTGTGGTTGTGCCTTCTATGGATAGATTTTGCCTTCATGTGATTATTGATTACTTGTGATTTTCTTCACTTCATTATGGATCTCATTATTTCACATTTATCATTATAGAATCTCGTTCGTATACAAATTGGAACTCCTTTATTACCGGGAGAATTTAATTAATAAACTTTCCGGCACAGAAATTCCTGCATGGAATACACATGGAATACATTCACGTAGAAATTTTTCACATTTTTGGCGAGAACATTTCTAGAAGCCGGTTTCGATATTTTGTTGTTTTCAGCTAATCTTACCATTTTCAGGGAAAATACCTCTCACCAACAACACGCAAAATATTGAGGGCGGGGAGTAACAAGTAGGGGGCGCTGTTTATCGACGGGGGCATTTTGTATTATAATTGCTTCCCTGGTTCCGGTTTACAAATCTCACTCTGGTAAAACTTGTGAACGCTTGTGAAGCTGGAGCAAGATCGTCTAGCCACCATCCTAAAACGTGTCAACTCGAAAAAGGGTACCTAGATGGGTTGGCAAATCTATGAAAAGCAGAATGCCCCCCCCCCCCCCGTCGATAAACAGCGCCCAAATAGGGTATTGCATTCAGCTCGCAAATACGGGTGCAAAATTCATCATTCAGTCACTGAATGCCCAGAAAGCTCACGTATTAGATCCCTGATCCTCCAGCAAGCCCATACCGGCCTACGTTGTCTCTGTCATAATAAAGATGTCGTGCTCTCCCGCCTTTTTCCCTGTTGCCGCTCAAGTTGAAGGTAAAGCCAACACTTACCTTTGAAGAGAGTCTTATCCACCGGCGAGGAGTGCGAGATGGTCCGCAACTGCAGTAGCGCGCCACTTTCTTTGCCTAGAAGGGATGAGAACATGCTGAAGGGTAGTGATACCCGAGTGCCGAGTCTCCATACTCCGCCCGCGCTATTCTTTATGTGCAGCACTTGTCGATATCAAGGTCCTGCAGAGATACACGCACTCAGCGATGGAGAACAATCAGAACTGAGAGAGCCCACACATTAGCGAGTACGGCTATGATCAGGTGGGGCAAGGAGGAACCCCCCCTCCACACGGAGGTCAGCGCATGGCTCGCCTCTGACCATCATATGCTCGTCCAGTGCTCACGACCAGCTGCAATGAGGGTTTTTTAGAAGACGGTTTCTCATGCTTTGTTGCTCTCTAGTAAGTCAACTAGCAGTTCTGTATTTGTACTTTACTAAGTACGACTTGCGGCCGCGTGCAGTGCTCTCACAAGGGGAAGTGGCACGCTAAATCCCCAAGACGCGTAAGAATAGAACGCCGAGGAGGACAGAATCCGGCGCCCCTGAGCAGGTGCTGCGTGGCGCCCTTCCCAAGGAAGGTGTACTTATAGCGCTCTATCGAGATGGAACATACCGACCCGGAACGCCCACCGTGTCCGCACGCCCACGAATGTCCGACAACACGAAGTGAAGGGACTGGTATGAAGCTGCTGCGGTGCTGTGTGGATATATGAGTACACACATGCAGCCGCACCCACCGAAGCGGTTATCGGCACGATGCCAATGGAAAACTCGTCCGACATTGCTTTTTGAGCCATAAGGTTTTTCGTTGTAGGTTTTTGACCGTTTCACTTCATTTTTTCGCCATTTTCCCCACTATATAGCACCCTGCTAGCATTTTTGACCGAGTACCAAATCATCGTGCCTTATGCCTTCAAGTTCCATGAGTCCGGTCCTGTGTTGTGCCCTACAATGATGCCCTGAGTGATTACAAGCGTCGTAAATGGCAATATCCCACCAACATCGCAGTCGCCGTCACGTTCACATATAGTATGCAGCCCCGCCTTCCCCATCTCTGGGATACGGACTGCACATGATTTGACACAATAAAAACATGGAAACACATTTTCATTAGATCTCAAGACAATATTTAGAAATTGTGGCATAATCAAATCATGACAATACAAATAAGTTCACCCGTGAACACTAATCTGATTAGAAATTTTTGCATATGTAAATTATGAATATGTACGATTGAATGAAAGATCAAACAATGACTAAAACAATCAATTGAGTGTTTATCGGAATCATATGAATAGAATATGATATTTGATCCGTTGGAAAGTCCCAAATAATCCGAACCCTCCTGGCTAGTCCCGTGAACAAATGATCTAACATTGGTAATGCCTCCTACAGGTTTCCGCTGCGTAACAGCAGGGCGGTGTCAAGGGGCTTGGGTTTTGGCGAAGCCGTCACCCACGGTCTCCACCAATCGCTGAGCAGTCGAGTGACAATAACTGATTGCCTCGACAAGCTGTCCCAGCTCCAAACCCACCTGCTGGCACTCACCAGCGTCTGAAGCAAAGAACGACTGTGTCTGGCCAAGAAGGACGCCTCCAGGCAGAGAAGCAGCTGATAAGAGCCGCAGACCGACCATGATCAGAAGCACGTCGGTTCTCCAAAATGTCATCAGGTGATAGCCAGATGGACCGGATTAATGAAATTCTGACTTTAGTGAGCATATGAGAAAATTTTCATCTACAACAGTCCGCGAAATATGGACAAGGTTTTTATAGCAAGTTATAACCTGCTGTCATAGTTGAGATACACAAATGTTGTGCAGCTCTACCTTTTCGTCAGGAGTTCTCTCGTGTACCTGAAAATTTGAAAAATTAGATGTAGTGTCGTGGTGCATCACATATGGGAACAGGTAAGCAGAATAATGGTCAATAATGCAAAGGTACAGGGCGTTCCTAGACAGTCTGCCAAAAAATTTCCAGATGGAGGATTTCTACGACTGATCCTCGAGTTCCATGCGGAACTCTCGCTGCTCCCACACCCTGCACAGGGTATGTCGTACGTTGGGGATCTTCAGCGAAGAGGGGGAGCCCGTTCTTTCCTGAGGAAAATGTCTTCGGTTGTTGATTCTTCTCGGTTCCTCCGCTCCCCCTCCCGCCTTGATTGAGGAGATTTGGAGACAAAAGTGAAGAATTCGTAGAAAAACAAAACTACGGAAAAATGACAGAATTGGAAACATCTGGATAGGATATAAGGTAGGAAAAGTGGTCGAAGATTCGGATAATCTGGGCTAGGTGATATTAGCAGGATGGTGGACGGCAGCGGGAGAGTCATACTGAAGAAGAGGACGGAGGAGGATGCACTAAGCGAATTCGCAATAATATAAGTTTCCCTCACGGCAAGGAACGACCTAACCTTGCCTCAAGCTCCCATGAACTCCCGTAGACTTTAGGAGGGAGCATACTGGCGAATTGATCAATATATTGTGCAGAAAAGTGAAAGTCACTGCAAGGCACATAGGTTGTGGATCAGTTAAGTCTGTACGACCCCGTTCTATCGCAATAAGGTTGGATCGATCACAGGCGGGCCTCCCCCCCCTTCTAAGATTTGTATTGTTTTCTCGCCTTTATTTGCATTTTCTTCTAAGCACGCGTTCCGTTCTCCGTTGTCCGCCCCCCATCAACCCGCAACGAGAACGGTAACAACGCACGCTGGCCGATCCGTGCTCCACCACTTTGCTGAGGCCCGATAAAAAGAGCGCGAACTGCTTGAAAACGGTCTGATACGAAACGAACAATGGTAGTCCTGACGTTTGCAGAAAGGACAAAAACAGGTTAGCGCCGCGCCAAGTGCGGAGGCGCGGGCACGCCCCATCATTCGCAGCTAACCTGGGTGTAGATTGTACTGTTTAGTTATCTACGTACTCACGAAATGACTTCAACTCAATATTTCCAGTTAATTTTGAATTAATTTTGTTGATGAAAGTTTTGTTCTATTTTTTTTTACATATCCGGGTTCCCTACAATGCAAGTTTTCCTATACAGACTCAGGACACTGGCATCTTTGTGCTGCTCGCTACTGACTGCGCCCACTCATTACGACCCCCCCCCCCTCCCAGCCGTCAATACGACCCCTCCCTGTTGGGGATCCCGCAGGCAAGATGTGGCCCTTAGTTCACGGCTTTGAGGGGTTTAGTAGTACGAATTGGAACGGGAAATAACCATAGATCTCTAGCTCTTATAGAAATCCCCACACTCGTCCGTCGTTGCTAACGCTGCCACCACAATACAGCCCCAACCCACATCTACCTTTCTAACGATTACATACGACCCTCGTAATACCCTCACGTTGGAAGGATCCCCAGCGCACGGTATGTCCTCTCTTTTACTCAGAGTGTGAGAAACGGGAAGTATCCGGGACAACTGTTGGCTGCATGCAGTCCTGTTCCCCTGCAAACGCTGGGCGTTTCAGGGGGTGGGCCAGCCCCGCTCTGAATCAACTGGTGGAGCCGACAGAGGACCACAATTAGTGGAAAACTGATACAGCCGCGTCAAACCCAGCCCCTCGCACCAGCATTCGCAGCGAACGATACTGTAAGTTGTGGTCCCAATCACCGCGCACCAGGGAGCATAAGAATGCTGGCGAATGGAGAGAGCTGATACCTGGTTCATACTCTGGTTGAAGGTGACCCTAGGTTGGTCGTTCATCTTCTTCCGTTGTCTCGTCTTCTTCTTTTCCGCAACACCTGAATTTTGATGATTTCACTTCTTTGAAGAGGGTTAGCATTACCAACAAAGCACACCACTTTCGTCGACGTTTTGACTTTTTCACGCTGCTTAGCGACGATGTTTCAGAGATGGGCGGCGTCGAGTGACCGCCGTCGAACGCCACATCACTTTCGACAAATTCTCGCTCCTGAAAAGCAACGTGAACCAGCTGAAATGCTGTGATAGTATACGAGTTGAGAGGACGTTCTGGAAGCAAAAACCTGGGGGGGGGGGCTCAACTTCACGCTGGCAGCCGGCAGGCTCACCGGATGAGTGGCAGTTTTTAGTCATCATCAAAATGGCTTTAGCTTACCGGCCACGCACAGCGTCTCCAATCAATGAAAATGGAGTGCCCTTTGGGAGATTCAAAGGCAGTTGGCACGATAAATCCCCCAAGACGAGTAGGATTAATACGCCTGGCAGGACGGAATTCCGCGACCCTGAGCAGGCGCTGCATAATGCCTTTTCCAAGAGAGGTGCCCTTATAAGGGCCTCATCAAGCCACTACATTACCACGCCAACCGCCGGCGCGCACGCCCTGCCCCCATTAATGGACGACCGTTCCTGAGCTCTGCTCAATTCTTTGCTAAGGGCAAATTTAGAGGGCGAAGCCGAAGGATCGTATGAAGCGCCGTTATACTACATGAATAATGAAGTACATGTAAGTAAGCCATACTATCGTACGGCGGTTATTGGCAAGATGCCTACAGGGAACTCGTTCAAAATTAATTCTAACGCATTGAGAACGGAGGCTCGTTCTTCGCTAGATTTTGACCCTTTTCAGCTTCCTTTTTTCGCCCATTTCCCCACTATATAACGCCCCACAAGAGTTTTAGCATTCTAGGCCGAGCACCAAAACATCGTGGTAACTGCCTTTAAGTGACGGCAATGCTGAAAGCAACGTCTTTGCACGAAGTTGGACCATTGACCCACAAAGAACTGTTTTTCCTTGCGACACAAAAGTGGCTAGAGTATGTCGATTTGACTACCATGTGTCTTACACGCCAGACTAGCCTCCCTATCGCTACAGCTCGTGTTTTCGCTTGGCAACTCAAGAAGCGGGAATGATATGACCGGGGGGGTGGGCGGCAGGGTGGCGCTGTTTCGCTGTTGGAGGGGCACTTTGTACTTTTGCTAGTTCCTTTTGTTGGTTCATGTTAACTAACCGGCTACACTTTAGTTGGACCTGTGAACTTCCGTGCAGCTGCAAATTCGTTCAATTAAGCCGCTTCTCTGGCGGATGTTCACAGGTCTTCAAATGATGGCCTGTACATGCTTAGCTGAGCACCACCCGGTGCCCTCACCGAGCTGAACTGTGTCGGCGAAGTCCATCCGTACTCAGGTCTCGGAATTGTCCTAGCTTAAGTCAACCGTCTGCGATCCGAAACTAGTAACGGCACGAATACAATGAGGTGCTCCTAGTTTCTCAGTCAACCTGCAGATGAGACCTGCAAACTCTTGCTAAGTGCAAACGAGGCTCCTGCTACTGCCTAGCTGCACAGGAATTTACAGGTCTTCACAGGAGGCATCGGAGCAAATTGCCCCCACTGAATCGAAGTGCGCGTTCATACTCATAACTTACAGAGAAGCTGCCATTGTAATACTCGCTGCAGAGACTCACCGTTGCCTTCTCCAAGCACTGCAACAGATGGTGGTGCTGAATTTCGAAGATGTCCTCGTCTCGTAAAGCATCGAATGAGAGCAGACCTTGAAAAATCGATTTATTGACTGACTGAGGGGGGGGGGAGGGCACCACGGCATTGTGCTGGGAATGGTCGCAAAAATACTTCCGCCATCTTCTCCAGAAACTAAAAGATTGATTGCTCTCTACTCCGTAACGCTTAGCGGAAAAGGGCTTAGGCAGTGGGGAAGGGCTATGAGCAAGACTGCCCACTCCTATTCTTATCTTGTCTGGGCCCTCAACCGAACTCACGAGCGCTTCCTCGCTGGCGCAGGTAAGTAGAAACTGGGCGCGGTCCTACCTAACTATCACGTAATCCAGCGCCAACGAGTTTACTAAATTTGGAAGGGCTCCAGTATACAGTGCGGCCCGCAGATTCCATTAATCATCTTCGTTAAATTCTTAGGAGGACAATTATTCCGATGTCCCCTTGGGAACTACTCCACTAATCAATTATTGATTGACTGGACAGCACTGCATGCGCTGAACGTGGTAGATTTCAGAACAAACCTTGTTCGAACGCTTTCATCCTGGCCTCATGGGCTTTCTTCTTGTTGAATAACGCTTGTCCAGAAGCATTCTTTACTATCCGAATTCGAGCCAACCGAGCTTTCTGGAAAAATCACACCAATGGAC